AGCATGTTGTTTAACATTGTTTTCATCTTGATAAAAAGACAAATAATTAGACATAAAATTTCACGTGGTACAATATATGGTGCTTAATTGACCACTTTCTAATAAAACAATGGTATGCATGAATGTCATGCTTAACATAAATATTAGATTTTGCACTTTCTGATAAATTATCAATTGAGTTTTTACCAACTTGAATGTCAACAAGGTTTCATATTTTAAAAACAATTAGACATTTCTCTTAAGCACGTTTGAATAGTTTTGTAATGATGTTCTGATAACTTATAATTGCATGTTTAACTTGGCAGTGCTGACTAGCTGCTTTTACTCCAGCCTATCACTTGAAAATTAGGGATGGTTAGCGCAGATAGTTGAGTAGCCTTGTTTGAAATTCAACAAAACAAACAAATCTAAGAACGCATAATGTTTCCGTTAAAAAACCTTAAATACATACCTACTATGTGGATAATATATTTTTCATACAAGCATATGGACAGATACTCTCACTCACAATAGCTCCACCCGCTATATGCTGCCACCTTAAAAAACTACTTTCAGCCATCTAAGGTACACTTGGAAGGACGGGACATACTTTCATGGTTGAGTGAAAACAATGACTGTAGAAAGATATGACCGATAACAGCGGTAGAAAAGGAAAATTCCTTACAATTAACATACATTATATAACCAGTAAGGATAAAAATTGTCGGGTAAATGGAATTTCAAAGGATAATTCTAATGAGTTTGCTAAAAAGTGAACATGATATTATCATACTAAAAACTGTAACGATATTAGGTATACCCATAAGGTTACCAGTTAATACTCTTTCAGAAACCAGTTCACACAGTAATATGCAAAAACTTTTAAAACACCTGGACTTTAGTAAATATAAATTTCAATGATTGGAATTATGTTTGGTTGTGCTTTGAATTTTGTTTAAGTTTAATAAATCAAACTGCCACTCACTAATAACTTCATAAAGAATGTTAATTCATTCTGGCATGCACAAAGAACTGCACCGAAATGTTAATTCAAACTGCCATGCACAAAGAACTGCACCGAAATGTTAATTCAAACTGCCATGCACTAAGAACTGCACCGAAATGTTAATTCAAACTGCCATGCACTAAGAACTGCACCGAAATGTTAATTCAAACTGCCATGCACACTGTGTGAAAGAGGAATTTACCGTGTGTTTTTATACATTCTTAGTTAATATGTAAATATTTCGAAATTTCTGTTTTTCTTTTATTTCAGTTTGGACACAGAAATTCGCTCAAATAAACATAGCTAACTTTTCCATATTTTAATTTTGTCCAGGACTTGTATTCACTAACTAGCAGTTAACTGCATTTTCTTGCAAGAAAGATAGCTGTTCCTATCCTACAGTAGAAGGCTGTCTTTTCTGGCAGCAAATCGGATAATGGCCTGGGGTTGCCCCACTATTTGGCTGTAACACAGTTTGAGGTACAGTCATGTGCAAAACTTGCTTTGTTATTGATATTGTACTATTAGTATTAAAAACCGGGTTTTTCCCTGTTATACTTTTGGTAAGAAACATCGTAAATTTGATATTAGTCTTAAGTTTGTTTTCATTTTAAACTTTGCTGTAATTTGGAGTGCGAGACATTTTTATTTATTATTTTAACTCAGCTTTAACTTAAATATTTTAGTGTTGTACTTGATCTAACTAGGGGGGATGCACACATAACTGGTGGGGGAAGCTTACTAAGATTTCACTTCCTCGCTCTCTCTCTCATCAGTCCAATACACTCATTACAGATATATCCATCCTTGTTTTGTTTTAATGTCTTGTGATTGTGATAATATAAATTGTTGTGATGCACATTCTGCCTGTCGACACATTATTCTGGTAAATTGTTGTGATGCACATTCTGCCTGTCGACACTTTATTCTGGAAGAACCCAGTTAGCTGGCTCTATTCTTGCTTCGTGGTAAATCCGTGCACTGGGTGATACCACAACTGCATCAACATTGTGGTAAGGTCAATAGCTTAGAACGCTAGAATTAGGGATTCGATCCCTTTCGCGTACACAACGCAGAAGAAGCTACTTGTAAAATTTTCATCATTATGTGTATTGTAACTCAGTTATCGTAGATATATATATCATTAGATGATGTTATGTAATCATTATTTTATATTACATTTTGTTAAATATCGGTAAAGTAACAACTCTTTTTTTTTTTTTTCATAATCTTTTTGTAGTCTTATCTAGTCACTTCACTGTATATAAACCCATAAAGCTTCAGTGGGTGACTTTAATTATCATCAAAGTAAGCTGTTGATGAAAGCTGAAATAGCTCAAACTTATGATTTTACTAGCTTTTATTAGATTAATTTGGGCCCGGCATGGCCAGGGGGTTAGGGCGCTCGACTCGCAATCTGCTCGTCCTTTCAGCCGTGGGGGCGTTATAATGTGACGGTCAATCCCATTTTAATTTGTATATAAATTATTTATTATAAGCATGGCCAGGTGGTTTAAGGCGCTCGACTCTTAATCTGAGGGTCGCGGGTTCGAATCCTAGTCACACCAAACATGCTCGCCCTTTCAGCCGTGGGGTCAATCCCACTATTCGTTGGTAAAAAGAGTAGCCCAAGAGTTGGCGGTGGGTGGTGATGACTAGCTGTCTTACACTGCAAAATTAGGGACGGCTAGCACAGATAGCCCTCGTGTAGCTTTGCGCAAAATCCATAACAAATAATAGATTAATTTGTTTCATATTATATACTATTTTATAGTCCTCTGAAGCTTTATGATGTAGAGAACATGAATAAACTAAATAAATAATTACATAATTTTACTCGTCAGGATTTATGCTTTTTAACTCCGAATACCACTGCGTTAATTTTGCATGTCTGTTTAAATATCTAACAAGGTCATTGTTGAGGTTGTGTCACCAGGAAGTAACGATGAGATAACATTTATTGTTATGCACAACGATACAGCATATTCCATGACATTGGATGACAAGACATGCAACACCAGGCCCTTAGTGTGTTTGTAGTTAAGCGCAAAGCTACACAATGGGCTATCTGTTCTGTGCTCACTACGGATATCGAAACTCAGGCTTTTAGGAACAAAACTATTCCTTTTTTAACTCAACCGATTTATATATATATAATTATTCTGATGGGAATTACTGTTATACTACAGTGATGTATTTTAGAATTATAATAGGGAGACAAGACACGGTTAATATTATCTTCTCCGGAGGGTTTCATTAACCGCATGGTAACATTTTAAAGTTACTTGACCTTGACTTTGTGTTAAAACAAACAAACAAATTGAAAATTATATCCATAATATTAATGCTTTATATTGTACACTTACCTACAGGCACTGCGTTCGAAGGTAATAGCTTGAAGCATATTTGTTGTGAACTGAATCACTTTACTTCTGAGTAAAAAACAAAATTTCTTTTGCCAAAATAGTTTAAGTTAAATAAGAAAAGGTTGTTAAATCTCAACGTGTAACGTAACTTAGTTTGGTCTGTTTTAATTTTCGCACAATGCTACACGAACTGGCCGGGTCTAATTTTGAAGTTATGGTCTAGAGGGAATGCAGATAGTCAACGCCATCCATCGCCAACTCTTGGACTACTCTTCTCACACCAAAAAGTGGGATTTGACCATCACTCTTACAATGCACCTACAAAGTGCAGAGCGTGTTTTTTTGGCGTTAATGGGACGCAAACCACAAATCCTCAGCTCCACATTCCTGTACACAAACTACTGGGCTGCGCTTTCATTGCAACATTGAACCTCGTGAACTGGTTTAGTTATGAGACGTGCTTCTTGACGTGGAAAAAAAAAGACAAGAAAATAATGATTTTGCTAAATAGGTATTTGGAAGAATGATTAAAAGAAAGAGGTTGGTATATATTATCCCACAACTTTATACATTACAGAATGATGTTTATTTTTTTATGCGTCTTCCTTACTGTTGGTGTGATTTCGCCCCCTCACTCATGAAACAGGCCCAAAGCCATTAAACGTAGTCAATAAGCGCGGCGGAACATATTTTAATTTGGGGGGGGGGCAGGCGATTGGGATAACCTTATTTGCTACGTTAACAGTGACCATGAATTCAAATGTGAAGCATCGACGTTCCCTGATAATTATATACCATTCTCAAAAAAATAAGAAAAAAGGCACTTCACTATCGGGTGAAAATTTGAGGGGCATTTGCACTCACCCACGTTTCCGTCGCCTGTGAACGCGGCATATATAGAATGATCTTTTTAGGCTTTAAATACGAATCACAAGTAGGGTGAATACGCGAAACATTGACTATTGTATGTAATTTATCTTTCGTTTTGTGGAAATTCTAATTACTAAAATTTAGAAGAAAAAACAAAGCACATGCTAGAAACTCAATTACACAAAATGACGTAAAATAAATCCAGTGTAAAACACATAAAACTTCAGCGTTGGTGTAGTTTTTCCTTTCTTTCTACAATTACAGGAAAATATAAGATGCCACGAAGGGTGGGTTTATATACATATTATTGATGCTATAAAACTGTGTAAACAAATTTTGAAGAAGACATAGTAGACTTTATTTAAAAGGCTTAACCGCCACCTGTTTTTAAGCTTGTCTTCAAGAAATTTCAAAAACCATTGGGTGATGTCCTTTAAAAATTCCAAAGAATTACTATCTTCCACCTATAACTTCTATCCATGTCACACAGATTGTACTACAGACTTTACTGCTTTGTTCAAAGATACAAATTTGTTATCAACGTGCCGTTAATGATAGTTAGAGAGATTTGAGAGGCGGTCACGTTCATGATCAATGATTTAAAAGATAAGATTAATTTTTAGTACTGAAATACTGTACAAAAGTGAACACAATAAAGAAATGTTAGAATTCCATTCATTAAGATGTAATGTTTTTGTTTTATTCTTCTAATAATGTATAAATAAATCTAACTGAAGTGTAAAATTAAGGTTAATTTTCTTCTCAATGTTTCTTTATAGGTTGGAGAAGGAAAACAAAGTAAAATCGTATTACTCGATGGACGTCAGTTGGATATTTTAGTACAGGTAATTGTCAAGAAAACTTGCACGTCACCATACAGTATTTGATAATAAACTTCCTTGTGTATATTTATATGATACACTTCAACACATCACCATACAGTATTTGATAACAAACTTCCTTGTGCATATTTATACGATACACTTCAGCACATCACTATACTGTATTTGATAATAAACTTCCTTGTGTATATTTATATGATACACTTCAACACATCACCATACAGTATTTGATAACAAACTTCCTTGTGTATATTTGTATGATACACTTCACCATAGCTAACAAAAATGGTTTACAACACTGAAATGCGGACACAGATAGAGCACTTTATTAATGAGTGATCATTGTGCAAATTAATTCACGTGAAATCACATAATCAGGTCTGTCTCGATTACTCGTTTGAAAAGAATAAGGACTTGTAGGTATTACATAATTATTTTTTGTGTATTTCAATTTATGGCAAAGCTACTAAGACCATCCGCTGCCATTCCTATATTTGAACTACTGGCCAGAGAGATAAGGCAGCCAGTCAACAGTACTTTATCGCCTATCATCCATTCTAAGAGACTGACTGTCACTGTTACAAAGCATCCGTAGCTTAAAGTGTAGGGAATGTTATATGGTATCGCTCACATGAATTTGTTTACGGCCCCAGCTCCAAAATCATGTACTATACCACAGTGCCAGCCTGCGTTTCATATTACAGCTAAAAAAATATGCTTTGTTTCTTTGTTTTGTGGAAATTCGCGCAAAGCTACTCGTGTGCTATCTGCCTTAGCTGTCCGTAATTTAGAGTGATAGACTAGAGGGAAGGCAGCTACACGACGCCATCCTCCGCCAGCCTCTTGGGCTACTCTTTACCAACGAGGAGTGGGATTGACAGTCACTTTATAACGCCCCCATAGCTGAAAGGGAGAGCACGTGACTTGCAGATTATATGTCGAACGCCCTAACCACCAGGCCATGCCATGTCCGATTACGCTTTGTATTTAGTGATTATATTTCAGATTAATATCATTGCTATTAAGTACACAATAAAAATATTATTCCAAATTACATATATTGTGGTTCGAATTCATTAAGATTGTAATGGTTTAAATGTATTTCTTTGTCAACGTCATGATGACTGCGTTGACTTTAGAATTTGGATGCATGCATTTGTATGTAATCCAGAACGAGAAAAGTGAGGTTTTGTCATCAGTACATACAAAAGTGCTTTGTACACTAATGATTTTTTATTACTCTTTCCGGATTTTCTAATGACATTTTAAAGTTATTCATGTCCTTTTTACAATAGATCCAGTAATTATAATTTTCCTGACCGAAACGCTGATAAATATGCGACGTTTATTTTTCTGACACTGTAATACTGGTGGGATAGCAGTAGGTTTACGAATCTACAACTCTAAAATCCGGGTTCGATTCCCCGCGGTGGACACAGCAGATAGCCCAATGTGGCACTGATCTAAAAACAAAACAAACAAACTGACACTGTATATACTAACATAGATCAAGGGGTAGTGGCTTTTGATCCTTAAACACATTTTAAACTTATCTTTAATAACAAGTGTAAATATAATAGCCTCGTTAAGAGTAACACCATACATCCGCCGATGGCATGCAAGAACAGGAAAAACAGTAGTATATAGCTATAGAATATCGGTATCTGTGTTTCAAACAGCGTAGTGAGTGCCCAGAATATGAATCCAATGGTCCACAGTTCGGGCCTCGCTGTTGCAAAATTACGTTCCACACTTTTGGGCCGTGGGTGCGCTATAAGAATGACAGTTAAATACCATCATTTGGTGTGACAAGGGTATACCAAGAGTTGGCAGTGGGTCCTGCTGACTAGTTTCTCTCCTATAGTCCGCTCAAAATTAGAGACGATTATGCACAGATAGTCTTTGTTTAGTTTTACGCAAAAATTCTAAAAACAAAGACTCTTGTCCAAGCAGGTGATCAAAGGTTAAATAGCCTCTATGACGTTTTTTCATACTTGTTGATCTGATTTTGTATATCATTACCCAGAATGGATTATTCTGATGACTGTTGTTTAAAATATGTTTTAGTTTGAAGAATGTGGGTCATCTTAAAAGGTTCAATGGGATCCCTTTAGTTGCTCGGCTAGGGCTAAAATTAAGGAATTGTATTCATAAATCATAATATATCATATTCGTTAATAAGCAAGCCCCAAACAAGGCCGTTATTTAATTGTTTGGTAATGGCCTAAAACTACGGAACTGTACTGACACATCACATCGTCGTCTACAAGCAAGCTCCAAACAAGAGCTTCACTGAATTTCGGCCATGGCCTAAGACAGAGGAACTGTACTGACACATCACATCGTCGTCTACAAGCAAGCTCCAAACAAGAGCTTCAGTGAATTTCGGCCATGGCCTAAAATTAAGGAATGTACTGACACATCACACCGTCGTCCACAAGTAAGCTCCAAACAAGAGCTTCACTGAATTTTGGCCATGGCCTAAGACTGAGGAACTGTACCGACACATCATATTGTTTGTAGTCACGAAACAAGTAGATGAACCCTGTTGAACCTTCAAAAAATTCCATTTCGCCTGTTTGACTGAATAATAGTAATTTAATATGGAAGTATAATTAAAGTTATTCATTATAGTAATGTGACTGTTATCCTTAAGTTACACGTGTTAAGTGAAGGAAATGAAATGTGAAGTCGTGTTAAAATAATCCAGATATATACAACCCGGTTATTGACCGGAATTAATATAGTTGCGTTAGATATATTATTACTGGTGACTTAACGTTAGCAGATCGAAATGTTGTCTACAACCAAGTAGTGAACTCTTTAGTTACATTTTGGTATTCTTTATAGCTATATTTACCGATATTTTATATACGTTTTGTAACAATTGTTGTCACTCCAATAATTAATTCATTCTTCATTGTTGTTGTTTTTTTTGTGTGTTTTATCTGTTTACTTTTTTTTTACTTCTTAGCCTAAACTCTACACAAGTGAATTGCTTGATATGGTTTCTTCCCACTTAAACTTGAAAGAGAAGGAGTATTTTGGGTTGGCATTTCTCGACGATTCGTAAGTAGAAAGATGATTATTGTAACGTCTTACTAAGTATTTGTTGTTACATAGAAAAACAAAACATACACACACAAAAAAAAAACCAAAAACAAATAGATGTACAGATAAATAGAAAATGTTTAAACTCTAGACGTAAATACTCTTCTTTGGTTAGTACATGTACTGTATGCCAACAGACATTGAAGTCTGGTTCATTTAAAAAGTGTTATTCTAATTATTATAACTTATTTACATACTATTGAAATATATTTTCATATAACTATCTTGCCTAATTTTAACATCATAATAAATTAACATATTATTATAATATAAATTATAGTAAATATTTTGTTATAATAAATGTTAACTCACCATTAATAAACTGTGACCTAATATCTAAGTGTGATAGAAATACAGTTTTCTTCTATCAATGTTATATTTTAATGCAAAATCTGGTAACGTAGTGTTTTATTACTTTGTGTTCAGTATAAAGATACTTCACTTGTAAACAAAGATTTCCACGTAGGCGTTTACAGTTTAATATTAGTGAAGGCGAGCCCCCTAAAGAATCACCCAAAAGAAAATAAGTCTGAAGTATTCCTCGAAAGTTCATCATGGCTAACAAACATGAACATTTACATAGCGGTCTTACATATTGAAACATCAACCAAATCATTATATAGTAAAACACTCATCAAACTACTACATACTCAAATACTCGTAAGAATATTATGTACTCAAACACCAGTCAAATTATTACATACTCAGACACTGAGCAAATAATACAAGCCTGCGAATTTAAACTTCATAAAAGTTGTTTTGGTTTTAATAATGGATTATCCATAATTCAGCTACGCAGATTTCGAAAATAATATTCATTTTTTTTCTATCACGTAAGAATGTTTTACACATCGGGAAGAAAAAATAAAACTCTTATTTAGATCAAATTATTATTTCGTTTACCACAATAAACATTTTATATTATTATGTTTGTTAACAAAAATACAAAAAAATTAAGAAAAGGGAAGAACATTGATGTCAAAGGAATATGCATCCTCATTCATCCCGATTTTTTTGTGTGTAATCTACGTCTCAAAACTACGTCTTGTGGTCTTTCTTTTATGTGTTGTGTTTCCTAAAAAATCTGTACGTGATGGATAAAAATGGATATCATTTTCGGATTCATCGTACAGGAATTACTGTAGAATATGTAAAAATTTCGAGACAATAAGACCATCGCAGGCCTGTGTAATTAGACATGTGATATTCTCGGATACGCGTATTTCATACAGATAAATATAATAATCCTTTTAACTAGAGGTTCGGTAGAAAATGTATTACAGAGTTAAACTGAACTCTGACCAGATTGAATTGGGAGTTTTGACTTCATTATGAAAGATTTCATACTAGTTAATCCTGTTCAAAAGATTACCTCAGTACTGAAATCATATATGTTTAGTATATATATATAGGTGCATGTATACATGAAACTGACTAGTACTACGTCAAATGTTTTGTCTATGAAGAAGAAGGTGGGGTAAGATGGCCACCCCTTAACTTTGTATTAAAATAAATGTCATGAGAAAGCAAATTTTTAGTATTGAAAAAATGCATTTCTTGTGGTTGGGCGGAGGGGGGCGTTTTACCTATAAGTTTTTATAAAGTAGACGCCAAAGATGAGGTAAAATGGCCCTCCTCTATCTCATAACAACTACAAGTTAAAATAAATGCTGCATTTAGCAACTAGATTTAAATCATCTCAGCCATAATCTAATTGCTCCTGGCAGGGATCAGAAAAGTCATATATCATGCGCAAGTTGCTCATTATTTACGACAATGGCACTAAAGAATAGGAGTACTAGTGTGGGGAAACGATGTACATTGCAGCAGAAGCTTATGACTGAAACATATGTTAGTGGTATGGTGTCAAATGGCACCAAGTGGATGTCTTACCCTAAGGCATTCGTGGTAATGTAGCCACATGATATAAAAAAATATCAATGAACTTGAAATGTGTTTCCTTTACGACATAGGTTTTATATGGGGCCTATAATTGACCAACATACTGCCATAATACATTCTGAACCATTGCTGGTAGTAACCCCTGCAAAATAGCGTGTCCATTTCAAATACACTATTGTCTGAATATTAAAAACAGAACCTGAGTCCAGTGGGGAGTAAAAAGGGTAAAAACTGTAAGTTCTGTATCCTACACAAGTTACTAACATAACTCTAGTCGCTTTACGAGTATGGATCACTATCTCTTGACTACGAGATTCCATGCCACTGATTCTACTAACATTGCTATCATACTTCTATTCATCTTAGTTTCTGATACAACTGTGCTATAGCGTGAAGGAACTAAAAACAATGCCACACAGTTGTTACGTTCCTTAAACCATACAATCACAGTTCACACTAATGTGTTCTAACTGCAATTTGTACAGGAAAATAAATGTTCAGCAAGTAATCAGTAAAACTGTTGCTTGTGAAATGTCCCAATTCTAAATATTAAACATATTACACCAACACCAATCAAAATATGGTTTACATTGGTGTGGTGCATAAGTCACAATCAGCAGTTTCACTTGTATATGAATATTTCATTTCTACCAAATGGAACATATAATTCGCTAACACTAATGAAAACACTGAGTAACACCATATTCTTCTTTAATGTATTACATACACCTTAATAATTAAATCTACTAGATCATGAACATTTCAGTTATAAAAACTGATCTTGTTCTACCATGAACATCAATGACAATATCAGTCACACTCCATCTTACTGCCTGATAATTGTGCTCTTTGTGTATTTTATCCATTCGGGTGATACAACATACTTAAATGAATTCAAGTGTGAAGTCTTAGTACATGTGCCACACAAAACACAGCACACATATAGCCATATATGTACAGAACCATATATATTTATATAAACATAACGTCCTATCATATACAGTTATAATATCAGACACACTGCTCTATGAGTTTCATATGATAATCACGACAACCTAAGCTGGCTATGTCTTAATAATCATATTATCTGTTACCATATCACTATTTATGAGCCGCTAAAACAAACTATCTTACAGCATCACGAAATATATCATTACAGGCAGAATTAGGCCAAACTAAAATTTTTCAACTACAATTCCCCAGCCTAGATTAATATTTATATTGTTTGCTACAGTTTAAACCAATAAATACTCATACAAACAGGTCAAATGCAATGTTTAACTGTAAAAATAACATTTATTATCTAAGACACATGGAAGTACTCAGAGCAATGTTATCAACATAACGTATCACTGTCTATAGCTTAATCAACCCATTAGGATCAGCAAAACAGGAAAGATATATGTTGTGAAAATCCAGTAAACAAGACATTTTTTCCTGGGATTTATTGCAGTTTGATTAACCACCTGATTAAGAGTACAACCCCCTCAAACGTTATATATTGAAGTAATATATATGGCTCTTATACCCAAAGGAGTGGATTTTGTGTTAATGCTACTTAAATTCACACTTGTATGTACGCAAATATCCTCAGGTGGTTTCTCACATGAACATCCTACCACAAATTTCCCCTTGGATGTTCAGAAAGAACAAATCACAAAATGAATTCACGTATTTTTCTTAGGCAAACATTAATTAGTTTGGGAAAAAATAATTGACTTTTGTTCTGTTGTTCTATATAATGTATATTAAGTGTTTCTTCCAGACAGTTCAGTTGGGATTAACAAACTATCCAAGCATATGATTGATCATCTTTATTACCCACTTTGCCAAACCATCAGGCTGTGAGTGGTAAAGTAAAGTTAATGTCTTCGCCTGTCCAACACCTTACACAACTCAGTATACAAATGGCTATCAAAATTAGCTCTTTGGTCCATGTGTATTTTTCAAGTCCTTCGAACAATGTTATCCATTCTTCAGTTAGTAAACCAAGAAGAAGTGCACTGATGTATGAAACAATGGATAAGCTTTGTCCCGTTTCATAAAGTAATCTATAATAGCTACTCTATACTGATTACCCCTTTTATTCTCCAGGAGTGAACTAATAATATCTAGGGATCTTTTATGTAATAGAGAACCCAAACTTCTGTGCCAGAGTTTTCGGTAACATAAATGTTTTTTTTTTCTTCTGAACAGCACACACCTAGTATATAGTTTGCATCATTACCCAATGTCTTGATGAAAACGAGACCACAAGACTGGTTTTGCAAATTAACTTAAGCATCTAAACAGACTGCTAGGCTCCAAACCTTGCATATGTAAATTCGTAAGTATCCCCTCCCTAAAAGCTTTCGGGAGAACTTGCTGCACCACAGTTTGAAAACCATGGGTTATTGGCATATAAAAATGATACAGTGAACCTTCCTTCATAACTGTTCACACAAATGCAAGGTTATATACATATTATTATATTCCTCCATTTGCAATAGTCATACTTTTCCACCTACAACAATATCACTCCAATTCCACTATCACTGGAAGAATAGGCCATTTTCCTGGAAAGTTTAACACCAGGGCCTTAACTAAGGGATAATATAGTGACTGCAAATACCAGGAACAGTTTTCAGATCACTTATAATGCATCTTAGCTTTAGTCACTGCAGACAGTGGTGCAGGTATCTAAGAAAACAATAATATGCTTCAAAACCTAGGATACTGTGGATCTCTCATTTTGTCATGGTTTAAAGCCAGTCTTTAGATGTTGCAATCTTGACAGAATCAGTAAGTATTACATCTTTACCCATAATGAGGAAAACCTAGATGTAAACATATTTTGATGTGTCATGATTCTATTTTCAAATCGTAAGTACCAATATGCAGTTCTCGCGTTGGAGGACAAGGGCTACACTAGGGCTATCTGCGCTAGCCGTCCATAATTTAGGAGTGTAAGACTAGAGGGAAGGCAGCTAATCATCACCCACCGCCAACCCTTGGGCTATTCTTTTAACAAAGAATAGTGGGATTGGCCGTCACATTTATAATGGCCCCACGGCTGA